GAGGGAAGTCCGTTCTTACGGTCACACACCAGCTCCGGTACGTACCCAGGTTTCGCTATTATGCTTGGAAGTCCGCTGTTATGCTGGGATCCATCATGCTCCTCTAGTCCAGCTTCGGTGCTTCATTTTACACCAGTTATGTTCAGCTCTCCCTTTTCACCCTTCACTCCATCTTCTCTCTCTCTCTCTCTCTCTCTCTCTCTCTCTCTCTCTCTCTCTCTCTCTCTCTCTCTCTCTCTCTCTGTGTTGGGGGGGCGCTGTGGACGAGACATCTTTTTGAAGAGTGCATGCTGGGATACCTCAGAGGGAAGTCCGTTGTTACGGTCACGCACCAGCCCCAGTACATGCCCAGGTTTCGCTATCATGCTCCTCTGGTCCAGCTTCGCTGCTTCATTTACACGAATTATGTTCAGTTCTCCCTTTTCACTCTTCACTCCATCTTCTCTCTCTCTCTCTCTCTCTCTCTCTCTCTCTCTCTCTCTCTCTCTCTCTCCCCTTGCATGGAACAAACAAATAACTCTGACAGAAACTCATTTTCGCCCATGTCCGTCCCCGCAAGAAAGTAATTAAAGGACCTTAAACCACCACTACCTGCAGCACGACTGGCACGGAAAAGGCTCCACGAAGTCTGGAGGCCTGTATCACACCAATTCCGCCAATGGATTTTATCGACGGCGGGTTCAGCCTCCTGACACTTCAGGTCGTAGGCTACTACTTGAAATTCGGAGGCCTGCAGGTAGTGGTGGTTTAAAACTCACGGAAACAATTTTGGGGAGTCGGCCTCAATGTTGGAAAAGGTCCTGGCCGACCCACTTTTTTTTTTTTTTTTTGAGGGGGGGGGGGGGAGGATTCAGCCTCAATCCTGACCTTCCAGACCGGACATCCAGATGCAAGTCTGGGTCCTGACCGTTAGGATTGTCCCAACGTTCGGATCGTAGCCATGCAAATTTCTTCATTATGCACAGCAAACGCACAGAATACCTCACTCACAGTTCTGAAACTACCACTTGTGTGGTTGCAGGATGATGGTTAGTGGTGGGATCAAGTTACTCCATTCTCCATTTTTACTCCAATGAATTGCTTTGCAATGTTTGTATTAATCAACAAAAGGAATTGCCATATGTACAAAAGGAACTCTTCCTTAGTGTCTCTAACTTGCAGTTCCCCTTGCCCTTGACCAAACAAATGAACCAACGATCAAATACTGCTGCGCCTCAATCTCGTGCTCGCCGTGAAAGCAAATATACTAGGCCCAAGAACAAGCCGGTTAACAAAGAACAGGAAAAGCTAGGGCCTCCTGTTCCATCACCTCGTCCCCGCCTCTGCTGCCGACCTCCTCTTCCATCACCTCGTGTACTGCTACACCTCCATCTCGTGCCCGCGAAGAACATCGGTCATTTGGCATCTGCTGCTGCAGCTGAATCTCGTGCTCACCGCCTTAACGGATATAGTAGGCCCAAAATGAAGCTGGGTAAGAAAAATAACAGGAACACCTGCAAGTGCCTCCTCTGCCGCTGCACCTCAATCTCATGTCCTATTTGTTTATCGCCTCTGCTGCTGCCTTCTAATTTCTCATGCCTGTGGACAACCTATCGCCTGTGTCACAGCGCCTCAACCCGGTCCATCAATTGACCATCAGTGGCATCAGGTCGTTTTATTTTTCTCAATGCCGTCTTCCCCTGAATAGAAAGTAATAATGATTGTGCGTTCTACGAACGGGCCTAGCTCAGTTGGTACATCCATGAACTCTTGAAATATGGACCCAAGTTCCAATCCAGAGGCAGTCAGATTAACAAAATAACATCGTTCTGAATTAGCTAGGGCGGGTTAGTTCAATGATGATATCTCAAGGCCGTCACCCTCTTCTTCAAAAAAAAAAAAAAAAAAAAAAAAAAAAAAAAACTGACTGCGCATTCTATTTGGGGGAAGGTGGTAGGTCATTTTCACTCGTGCCTTTTTCTTTTTCTTTTTTAAGCTAATTCTTTAAGCCCAACCAATTCAAATACCCGTCACATCTGGACAGGACGGCCTTTCAGGCCTTTTTTATTGTCATTACAGCATTACGGGGAACCCCGTAGCAGCCACATCGGTGCTCAAGCCTACAACGAGGGAACATGCGGGAGCTGCACCCACCAGCAGGTGCGATACCTGCTACAGCAGGTGGGCTATACCGGCCCGGGGTCGGCCGGTAGCATCAGGACCGAGCTTCTTCGATGGGCCAGTCACTGTGCCTCCCCTCCAGTCCCCTCCCCCTATGAACATCAGCAGTCTCTGCTCAATGCCACTCGGGGGGACCAACGGCATATCTCTAGGTGGCTGGCGCCAAGCTTGGCCAGGAAGGTACAGGACACCGATGGGAATTGAACCCAAGGCCTCCTGAATGCCACTTGCGTGCCTTACCAACTGAGCTAGGCCTTTACCATTCTGGTTCTCGGATTGTGCCACAACTCAAAATGACTCCATAAAAAAAAACAGACCAAAAAGAAAACCGCAGAAAATCAACCGATTGATTCGCCCGGTCAAGTTTCTCTTTTTCTTTTTCTCCATGGTGTTGACTTTGACCGGGTAATTAATGATCAGCAGCAGCACCACCACCACCACCGCTGCTTTGGCTTCGAGTCGAAGGCATCAGCTTTTCGGCGGCCTGCAATGCTGCCGCTTCCCGCCGGAGCTCTTTCACAACCGCCGCCAGGGCTTCCGGATTAACTCCATTCTCACATAGACTTATGAGAATCGACAGCATGTCCCTGTCAAGTCCTGTGTTCAAGACCTTGGAAATCTCATACGCGATGTCCAACGTTTCTCTCGCTTGCTGAATCGACGCCGCATCCATTTCTCCAAACTTTTAATTTGCTTCTTTTTTCTTTTGTCTTCTGTGTGACTAACGCCAGGCACCAAGTCCTAACACAATAGAAAACAGAAACAAAGAAAGAAAAGGGAAAAAGCAAATCGAAAGTTGATCCTCCAAAAGAGGTTACATCCTTTACCTGTTTCTTTGGCTTATATACCCAAAGGCAAATCAAAAGTTCATACTCAAAAAGAGATCACATCCTTTACTTGTTTGTTTGGCTTATACCCAACCAAGCAACAAGTCAGATCAAAACAGAACACAGAAAACAAACAAGTGCGTTGGTCTTCAAACTTATGAAGAGCAGAAACAAAACTTCATAAAAGGAGAAACATACCAAAGGGCAGCCAAAAGTTCAAAACAAGAATCAAACATCAAACATCAGGAAGCCTGCAACTCGAGAAACAACAAGAAGTCGCCCAGCCCATGTGACTCACACGTGGTTAACCAGGGGTGTTATTTTCGACGAATTTTGCACCGAATTGCACTGAAACTGTCATATTGTGCTGATTTTTTGCTTTTTTTTCTTGTTTTTCTTTTTGTGTGATATATATGTGCTTTAGGGTACGTCATGTGTGCAGTTTTGACATGTTTGGATCAATAATGAAAAAGTTGGCATTTTGGTGAATTCGTTGGACGCTTCATTTTGACTCGGACTGTGTCTTTGTGTTAGGGTTTCATAGTGTTTTTTTTTTTTTTTTTTCGTTYTTTTTTGCCTGTTTCCTTTTTTGATGTTTGCACTATGGTCTCATATCGTTTGTTTTTTAAATTTTTGATGAAATTCGCACCGCAATTGCCAACGAAAGCGGCGAATATTTGGGCCCCCGTTAACCGTCTCTCATGTGACTGAATGGTACACAAATGTGACCGTTAGTAAACAGATCATGAGCTCCAATCCTGCTGAGCTCAGATGCATTCAGTAAGGAAGGTTAGGGGCTAAGCCCTTAAAAGAAAGCACAGAAAAAAAGGGTCAAGGGAAAGAAAACGGTTGCACCAGAAGGAAGAGTAACACGGTGTACAAGGAAAGCCACAGCGTGTCAAGAGGAGGAAGAGTCAATATCGGAATGAGAGGTAAAAGGAGGAGGAGGTCAATAAGGAGCGAGAGAGATCGGGAGAGGGCGCACTGAGGAGGAAAGAGACGTAGAGACGAACAACAGAAGGTACGGAGCAGAGCCATGGCGTAGTGCATTTGCAGTAGGGAACATTGCCATGGCGAAGTGTATTCCCAGTTGTGAACGTAGCCAAGGCAAAGGACGTGCACTTCTCCATGTCCCCTCCCTCCCACCACACTTTCGCTATAGATCGCCATTCGCCATTCTCGCGTTGTTCCTTTCTCACATCACCGTCCGAAGATCGACAACAATTTTATAGCTTGAATGCCCTTTTTCTACTCTCCTCTCCTTCTCCATAGCTGCTCTCCCGGTTACGTCCAGTCGTCATGAAGATGATGACAAGGTTGAGGAAGAGGATATAGAGAGGGAAACATGGCGAAATGGCAATGGCGATTGATGACGAGGACGATGACAAGGAGGAAGAGAGAAGCAGGTGAAATGGTAGAGGTAAATCGTGGAGGTATGATGACGATATTCATGATGATGATGGTGATAATGGTGACCGCTGATGACCACGTGCATTAATGTGATGATGATGATAATGGAAATGATGCGACATTCCTCCCACCTAAGCGAAAATGCCTTTTTTTTTTTGGCTACGAACAGTGAACGTCCTTACAGCAGGCCCAAATGTCACAGGTATACCAAAACAATTATAATACAGAGCGGTGAAAGAAAACTAAAAAGGGAACCTCATTCCCTTCTCTCTCTCTCTCTCTCTCTCTCTCTCTCTCTCTCTCTCTCTCTCTCTCTCTCTCTCGCTCGCTCGCTCCACATCCCCGCCTACCCAATGGCGGCCGTGAACAATCCTGACCCGCTTGCAACATAGCACTCCAACTGCAAATGGAGTTGCAGCCCTAAACGAATGGACTGATGGGGGAGGTAAGGCGGGGGAGAGCGGGGGTTGGGGGAGGGGGGAAGGGAGAGAGACAGACAGACAGACAGACGCTTGCAACATAGCACCCCGACAAAAACTGGAGTTCCAGCCCTAAACGAATGGACGGCTGTTGGGCGGATGGGGGAGGAGGCGGAGAGAGAGAGAGAGAGAGAGAGAGAGAGAGAGAGAGAGAGAGAGAGAGAGAGAGAGAGAGAGATGAATGGAACTCCCCACTCTTCACGCACAACACCGCTCTGTGTGTGTGTGTGTGTGAGAGAGAGAATTCTTTTTGGGCCGAGTGTGAATTGAACTCGCCCCTCTTCACGCACAACACCGCTGTGTCAGTGTCTGTGTCAGAGGGGGCACACAGAGAGAGAGAGAGAGAGAGAGAGAGAGAGAGAGAGAGAGAGAGAGAGAGAGAGAGAGAGAGAGATTGCTGTGTCAGTGTATGTGTCAGGGGAGGCACAGAGAGAGAGAGAGACACAGAGAGAGAGAGAGAGAGAGAGAGAGAGAGAGAGAGAGAGAGAGAGAGAGAGAGATCCTTTCGGGCTGAGTGTGAACAGAACTCTCCACCTCTTAACGCACAGCGGAGGGTCCATGGGTCTCGCTCCATTACACACTACTGTAGTATTCTGAATGTGTCCGGCAGTGCCGTATAGATTCAAAATGTTTCGTCCGTCCAAACGCATCTGGATTAAAACGTTGTCCAGATATTTTTTGGCTGTACTCACACGAGCAGTTTTCGACATGTATCTGACCATGGAGGGGAGGAGGTGGGAGGTCAGGACTAAGACGGGAGGAGGACGAGGACGGGAGGAGGTCGGGCGGACGAGGAGCGGAGGTCGGGCTCCCCCGTCCCCAACCAAACTCAGTCTCTCTCTCTCTCTCTCTCTCTCTCTCTCTCTCTCTCTCTCTCTCTCTCTGTGTCTCGGAGCTTATTTGGCATTTTCTTTCAGGGGGGAGAGGATTGCGCAGAGGTGCGACCGAAGTCCATCGCTCGCGCAAGTCTCTCTCTCTCTCTCTCTCTCTCTCTCTCTCTCTCTCTCTCTCTCTCTCTCTCTCTCTCTCTCTCTCTGTGCCTCTGTCTGTGTGCCTCTGTCTGTGTGTGTGTGTGTGTACCGAGAAAGCAGGATCTGCAGCAGGAGGTGAATGTGGAGGAGGACGGCGAAAACATGAAAACCGTTGTATTCTTTCTAGCGTCGGCGTAGATGTGATGATGGTCTTTCCTGCACGCTCCTGAGGCTGAGGGATATTGGCATCCAAGGCCGAAGGATGAAGTGGAGGAGAAGGTAATGTGGAGGAGCTGAAATGGAGGAGGAGGATGACATAGAGACGAAAGACCGTCTTCCCCCGAATAGAACGTATGGTAATTATACCTATATTTGGCCCAGGCTGAGGGATATTCGCATCCAAGGCAGAAGGATGAAATGGAGGGGGAGGAGGATGCTGCGGAGAAGTATGACATAGAGAAGAAAGGCATGGAGTAGAAGGAACGAATACATGAAACCCTTGTAGTCTCCTAACCCCTGTGCAAGTACAATCGTGGCCTTTCCAGCACTCTCCCGAGGCTGAGCGATATTGTCATCCGAGGCGGAAGGATGAAGAGGAGAAGGGTGACATTGAGGAGATGAAGTGGAGAAGGATGAGATAGAGAGAAAGCACATGGAGGAGGAGGAGAAAGATGAGGAGGGACCATGGCAAATGAAACAGAAAACAAAATGGGCATCAATAAAGACAAAGATAAACGAAATCACCATAGCCTCCTCCCCCCTTTCCCCTCCAACTGCACGTAACCAACCTCATCTTCACACCCCCCTTTCGTCATCATCATCATCATCATCATCATCATCATCATCTTCAAACTCTCCTCACCCCCTTCCTCGTCCACCCATCTTACCTTCGAATCATCCTCGTTTCTCCGTTACCTTCCTTTCCCATGCTCTCCTGGAGGTAGGAGATTATTGGCCTGCACGGCTTCCACATGGAACTATACATATGCAGAGCGTGACTAGGAGGAGAACGGAACCGAGAGAAGGATGACATGGAGAACAACAGAAGAAACACGTACACGAGGAAGACATTGAAGAAAAAACAGGAAGGAAGGAGCATGGTAAGCGAGATAGAAAGAGAAAACCCAAATTAATCAAGAGAAAGCAAAATGAAACCTCCATTTCCCATCCCCCTTGTTCTTGCCGTCAGCAACCTCATATTCCTACACCCCCTCCTCCTCAGCTCACCCGGTGATAGAAAATCAAGGTAGTTCTCCGCCTGTCGCATTCTCCTTTCTCGTCCCAGCCTCTCCCCCCCC